TAAGTGCTCATCAGGATGCTTTGTTCCATCTCCTGTAAAAGGATTAGCGAGCAGTTTTTCCATTATACCCGAAGGAAATATAAAAGGAGTTTCATTTTCAATAGGTTCAGTAGGTTGAGGAGCAACTCTTTGCTCTACTGGACGGGGTGAAGATACCCCGAACAAGCCCCTCGGAGAATTACTTTCCATAGTAACAAGTGACAGTAAATTTCAGCACACTATATAAATTTTTTCTTACCAAATTCCACCTACCAGAAGCGCTACACTCCCCAGCAACGGCGCCAGAAAAGAGTCTTGATGACCCACAAGTATAGGGGATCTATCGTAGTCCTTTCGATAAGTAAGAGTGTCGAACCCAACGAGGAGCAGAAGGAAATGATAAGCGGTTTTCAGCAAGGTATTCTCTGCAAGTACTGAAATAAGTAGTAACAGATAGTTTTGTAATAAGGTAAATTGTAACGAGCAACAAGTAACAAAAGTAAATAAGGTGCAGCAAGGTGGCCCAATCCTTTTTGTAGCAAAGGACAAGCCGGAACAAACTCTTATAAAAGGAAAAGCGCTCCCGAGGACACATGAGAATATCGTCAAGCTAGTTTTCATCACATTCATATGATTCGCGTTCGATACTTTGATAATTTGATATGTGGGTGGACCGGTGCTTGGGTGCTGTTCTTACTTGAACAAGCATCCCACTTATGATTAACCTCTATTGCAAGCATCTGCAACTACAACAAAAGTATTAAGGTAAACCTAACCATAGCATGAAACATATGGATCCAAATCAGCCCCTTACAAAGCAACGCATAAACTAGGGTTTAAGCTTCTGTCACTCTAGCAACCCATCATCTACTTATTACTTCCCAATGCCTTCCTCTAGGCCCAAATAATGGTGAAGTGTTATGTAGTCGACGTTCACATAACACCACTAGAGGCTAGACAACATACATCTTATCAAAATATCAAACGAATACCAAATTCACATGACTACTAATAGCAAGACTTCTCCCTTGTCCTCAGGAACAAACGTAATTACTCACAAAGCATATTCATGTTCATAATCAGAGGGGTAATAATATGCATAAAGGATCTGAACATATGATCTTCCACCAAATAAACCAACTAGCATCAACTACAAGGAGTAATCAACACTACTAGCAACCTACTAGCACCAATCCTGGACTTTGAGACAAGAATTGGATACAAGATATGAACTAGGGTTTAGAGATGAGATGGTGCTGGTGAAGATGTTGATGGAGATTGCCCTCTCCCGATGAGAGGAGCGTTGGTGATGACGATGGTGATGATTTCCCCCTTCCGGAGGGAAGTTTCCCCGGCAGAACAGCTCTGCCGGAGCTCTAGATTGGTTCCGCCTCGGTTCCGCCTCATGGCGGCGGAGTCTCGTCCCGAAAGGTTGCTTCTGGTTTTTTTCTCATCGAAAGACTTCATATAGGAAAAGATGGACGTCGAAGACCCACCAGGGGGGCCACGAGGTAGGGGGCGCGCCCTAGGAGGGGGGCGCGCCCTCCACCCTCGTGAGCAGGGTGTGGGCCCCCTGGCCTTCATCTTTGGCGAGGATTTTTCTTTATTTATTTTAAGATGTTCCGTGGAGTTTCAGGACTTTTGGAGTTGCGTAGAATTGGTCTCTAATATTTGCTCCTTTTCCAGCCCAGAATTCCAGCTGCCGGCATTCCCCCTCTTCATGTAAACCTTGTAAAATAAGAGAGAATAGCCATAAGTATTGTGAAATAAAGTGAAATAACAGCCCATGATGCAATAAATATCGATATAAAAGCATGCTGCAAAATGGACGTATCAGAACTCAACCTATTCGACCAACCAGCTCGTCATCCCACGGCCTAACTCAGTGAACAAGGAAGAAGACGGACTCAACAGTTTGCCCAGGTTCGGGCCACCTTGCGGTGTAAGACCCTACTCCTGCTTTGTGGTGGATTTGCCTCACAAGGGGCTGAGGATGAACAAGTACAAGGGATGAACAACCTCGCGAGGTCTGCTCTAGTGAGGGTGGAAAGGACTCGATCCCTCTCTCGGTGGTGGCTAACCTATACTTATGGTGGCCTCGGTCCTCTCCCCCAAAATGTAGGCGGAAAGGAATCCCACAGTGGCCAATTTGAAAGGGGACAAGTAGTACATCTTATCCTGACGAAAGGTGGTCTTCGCGTGCAAAGCTTCTGGTCGTGATGCTGCGGTGGGCTCGGTGATGACATCTATCCTACTGTCCTGGCGGTCTTGATCTTGTTGCACTGGAATGGAAACCTTTGCCTGATTCCTGGGGAACCCACGCCTATCCTTACCTCCTTAGCACCAAAGAGGAAACTGGCTCCTCTGTGCCCAGAGGCGCCCGCCTGGCCTTGGTCGTCATGGCTTGCGTCACCGCAACCTCATGAGGTTGAGCACCTGCATAGGAATATCCGCTCCTTAGGAGGCTGCCTTGGGAGGCCGCTCCCTTCGGAGGTCTTGGCGTCGTCTCCCTCATGAGGGGGTCGGTTCTTGTCTTGGTAGTCTTTGTAGATGGGTCGTATCAGACCGTCAATGGAGCCACGCTATGGGCCACAGGCAGGCAAGTCTGGATACCCTGGTTCCTAGAACACCGACAGCATACTTAGTATAGATCTGATGTAAGTCTTGCGAGTACTTTGGATGAGTACTCATGGTTGTTTTGCTACCTCTTTTCCCCCATACCGGATTGCTGCGATCAGATGACGGATCCCAGGAGCCAGAAGCCACCACCGACAACTACTACTATTCCGAGGGTGCCTACTACTATGTGGTGGCCGACGACGACCAGGAGTAGTTAGGAGGCTCCTAGGCAGGAGGCCTTGCCTTTTCGATCGTTGTTAATGTTTGTGCTAGTCTTCTTAAGGTAGACTTGTTTAGATATTGTTGCTTCCGCTGTCTCGTTCGTATTCGAGCCCTCGAGGCACTGGCTTGTAATATAAAGCTTGTATGACTTTTAAAAAAAACTTGAACTTTATTAATTAGAAATAATGGTTACATCGTCTATCAGGAGAGTTACAAGATCTTCAATGGGCTCCTCTATCCAATCCCTAGTCATGGAACATTTTGCTAACCTAGCAAGCTCATGAGATACTTTATTCGCTTCCCTATTACAATGTTCAAAATTGGTTTGAGGAAAATCACAGGCCATAAAAAACAATCCTCGAAAATTGTAGTCGCCGCTCCCGCAGACTGTCCTCTGTTCTTCATTGTGTCGATGACTTCCATATTATCAGAATTGACAATGAGACGATTGCAGCCCGTCTTTTGTGCCAACAGTAAACCAAATCTGAGTGCTAATGCCTCTGCTGTCAGAGCATCCACACAGTACTGAATCTTGCAGTTACCACCTACTATGAAGTTATCTTTATCATATCTGATAACAGCATCCGCTGTGCCCCTAAGCTGATCATGATCAAAAGAAGCATCCACATTCAATTTAACAAACCCCATGGAAGGTCTGCACCATCCTTCACTCTTTCTCTTTGCTTTAGGAAAGTGAGAATTAACATAATTCACTGTTATAGCCCGAATCTCCATCGAGGTTTGGGACGCCTCCTGAGACTTACCCTCATGGACTAATTTCCGTCTATTCCACCATAAATACCAAGCAGCTATAGCGATTAGTTCCCCTGCATTTCGGGAATCCAGAATGGGTAGTTCATGATCAGGCATAAGGAGTAAGAATTCAAGTATTGCCTCTCCTGCACGGTCAATGACGCAGGCTTTTTTTACCACTTCATATAGCCCTAAATATTCTCACACTTCCTTTGCCTTCTGGCACAGAAATAATATATGTTTCATGTCCTCTTGCCCATCCAAACATGCTGGGCAACTTGGCTGAGTTTTTAAATATTCCCACACTTCCTTTGCCTTCTGACACAGAAATAATATATGTTTCGGGTCCTCTGGCCCATCCAAACATGTTGGGCAGCTTGTATGACTTTAATTTGTGTTTAGAGTTGTATTGTGATATCTTCCCGTGAGTCTCTAATCTTGATCATGTATATTTGCATGTATGATTAGTGCATGATTAAGTCGGGGCGTCACAGAGAAGAGGATCGAACTCCACCATGGTGTCTTCCATGGCGAAGCCCGCAACCGACTCCAGCTCGTCCTCCTCCGAATCCGCCCCCTCCATGGACTCCAGTTATTGTCCCCCTCCATCCTCTTCGTCGTCCTCCTCCTTCTCCAACGAGTCCGGAGGCAGGCCAGCCTCAAGCAGCTGGAAACGCCGCTCCAGCATTAGCATAGCGTACGTGGTCTTTTTTTGCCGGGCCATGGCAAAAGCAGCTGGAAACGCCGCTCCAGCATTAGCATAGCGTATGTGGTCTTTTTTTGCCGGGCCATGGCGAAGGCGGGTGGCATGCAAAGAGAAAGGCAGAGCGGGAGATAAGTGGATGGGATCAGGCTGACGGCACAAAGAAAAAGGAAGCGGATGTCTCTATGGCTGGACGATGACATCCGGCTTAAATAGGCAGATTTTGGCCCTCAAGCGGCGTCGTTCACACCCCTATTGGAGGAGACGGCCATAGGGTGTCGGGCAATTACATGTCAAACCCGATAGTCAGTCGACGTGCCTGAGCGCACTTGGATATGAAGAATGTTAGTCAATCCGGACGTTTGAGACGCCCGGGTGGGTTGGGTTTTTCCACCCGTCGGTGACCAGGCCACTAGACATGCACGGATGTAGATCGGGAGCCAAGGCAAATCACGAACCTGCAAGAAAATGTTTCGAACTTCTGATGACGGCTCAAGATTTAATTCACATTTGCAAAACATCTCTCACAGGCCCATACGCTCGCTATACTCATCATCACAAAAGAAAAAGATGTCCCACTTCTTCAGCTAACTACAGTACATTATTTTGATCTCTGGCTGACCGAGTGAACATTCCAAATTAATCTCTCCCTCCCTGTATTCTCCTTTTGCAAACCGCAACCTATGTGCTACTCGTTTCATGTACACCCATGACATTCCGACAGTCATGATGATTTCTCGGCGCTCTCCTCTTCTTCTTCTAGGGTTTCTGCTTTGCCCGGGAACAGCGCCCCCGGCGCTTGGATCTGCACGATCTCGAGAAGGATCTTGTGGAGGGACTGCGGTTTCGAGAAGAAGGGGCAGTGGTCGCCGCCCTTTATCTTGAAGATGCCGTCAGGCGGGCTCTCCCGGACCAGCTTCTCCTGGACGTCGGGCGACAGCATCCTGTCGTCCAGCGTCTGAATGAAGTAGCGGCGGACGCTGCCGTAGTTCTCCGCCGTGAGGGAGAGCTTCTCCATGATCGGGGCCAAGGGGATGGGCCGCATGGACACAGTGGCCAGTGCGATATCCTGCAACGTCGCGTGCAAACTTGTCAGCTGGACTTGGTCCACAGAAAAACACAAGATTGACATGGCAATGTATGTGACATTAGTTCTCAGTTGGCAACACGAAAGTAGTAGAGTACAATGTATGTACCTTGGAAGGACTTTGGTTGAAATATAACCCCTTGATCTGCTGTTTGTCAAACCTGAGCCCAGTTGGAGGCTTGTCCTTCCCATTTCCGTAAAGTAAATACTGTGATTCTTGCAAGAAAACATCTGCCGACGCGAGCTGCAAAATACCACGTCACATGAGTTTGCGAGTACTCAATAAGAACATAGAAGTGCACACGGACACATCAAAGGAGTGCATACCTCTTCAGAGAACACGTCGAAGGGTCTCTGGCTATCCTTTACCATTGTGGCGGTAAGGAATACGGCCTTGGAGATCTTATTTGGGCAGTGTTCTAGGGCATACGACACACTTGCACCTCCACAACTATGACCGACCAAAACTACCTGCATTGGTGTTGATATGAACACAGCAGTCAGATACCCAGTTCTGTTTTCTAATGAATGTGTGAAGAAAAGCAGATGTGGTACTCGCCTTCTCGTTCTCAGGGAGTTTACTGAGGTAATCAATTAGTGGCTTGGAGTACTCTTCCAATGTAGCTATGCCGTTTGTATCAGTGTGGTCTATGCCAGAGCCTGTGAGGTCTAAGGCAACAGGATCGAGACCAGCTTCCTCCAACAGGGAGATGGTCTTGTACCAACACCAAGCGCCAAATCCTTCCCCATGGACAAGAACGACTTTCTTGGTTTCTAAGTTCTCTAAAACAATTTGGACCTGAAAATATGCCAGAACAAGAAGCGTGAAAAACTGAAACCAGTTCAAAAGAACACATAGAACCCCAAACTAGTCTGAAGTTGCAAGAGAAAAGTGTTAAACAAGGAAGAATAAATAGTGTAAGAGCAAATGAGGATCACTTCTACTGTATGGTTAGGTCCTAACTCCTAAGATAAAGCACCACCAGATGCTCATGTGCATGTAGAAGCATATGCCAGCATGACTGTTGAAACTCTTTTTAGAAGAAGTAGCTTATACCCGAGTGTGAAATGCACAAAAACTGCAAACAGAATGATCATTTGAGAGAGACCACTGTAAGAAATGGGAACATGCTATCAACTAGTGAGGCAGCTGTTGAGTTCATAAGACTCGTAGTATTGTGTTGCAGTCCTAACTCCTAACGGAATGTAACTTGTAAGATTTCTCCATGAATATATAAACCCATCTTATGTATGAATCAACAGTTGTACATAAAGATGCATTTTCGACATATAGTAGTATGTACTCCCTCCGTCCCATAATGTAATGTAAGACGTTTTTTGACACTACACTTATGGGACAGAGGGAGTATAATAATCCATATACTTCTCCGAAATATGGGTTCGAGATTCTAGAAGCTTAGAGTAAGCTCAAACTATTAACAGGTAACAAAATTAATCATTAAGAAAAACCTATAAAGTGAACAGCAAAGCATGTCGCCATTGGTACATGTACAGCAACAAATCTCAGTACCAACAAGATGAGCAGCACAGGGGAAGCGTAGAAACCCATCTTCCTATCACAGTGACACTTCAGAACCTCTGATTTTCAACTACAGCGTAATATGAAGTTACTACTCATTATAATTCAAAATCAACCCAAACAAGGAAGCCATGAAGAAACTGAGTAAAAGTATGCTGGTGCTTCCTTGCAGAAAAAGAATGCGTCCTTCAACAAACATAAAAGTACTGAAGTACTCCCATCATATCACCGAATTATCTCCAATTCCCAAGCAATCCGAAATAGGAACCAATTTACTAGTGAAATAGTAAAACCTAGAGCAACCAGACATTAAACAATGTAGCAAAGTAGGTAACCGGCGATCCCGTGGTACCACTCTGATAATGACAGAATTTTGCCGACCAAAGAACCTAAACAACAAAGCACACAACAGTATGCAAACGCCAAATCATTTAGGGCCAGATGGCCAGCTGGTCCTGCAAGAACTCTTGCAGTTGAAAAGTTTGGTACTAGACCTAACTAAGTACAGTTTGTAACTGGACCAACCTCTATATAATTTACAAAAAAAGAGTCAGAACTTTCTTTGACAATGAACCTGTTAATTATAACATTGTACCGTAGATATATTTTTCTAGGCAAGAACACAAAGCAAGGCTGGGACAAGGGAGCGTGGAAGTACACAAAGAGCGGAGCAGAAACAGAGGAGGGTCGGGGCCTTACAGCCTTGGCATTGGTGACGGAGTCCGGGAGGTTGCCGTGTCGCCGGGAGCTGGTGGAGCCGGGGCCGATTCGGCGGGACATGGAGCCGCCGCCGGCGTCGATGCGGCGCGACATGGAGCCTCCGGCGTCGAGGTGCTGGTGGATGGCCATGGCGAGCGCCTGGCGGTGCAGCAGCTCCTCCTCCGCCGGCGTGAGCTTGGCCGCCCCGCCGCGCGGCGGGCGCGCGCTCCCCATGCGCTTGCTGCGCGACACCGCGGCCGCGCCCCGGTGCTCCTTGCGCGGCATGCACGCGAACGCGTTGCCCATCGGAGTGGATAACTTGTGGCGAAAAAAGAAGGTTGTCTCTCTCTCTCTCAAGTCTCAAGAACAAATCGGCAAAGATGATGAGCAAGAAAACAAAAGGTCGATTTCTGCTTCGAAGAGGGTGGGATTCAGGAACAGTCTCTCTCACACAGGAAACTCAACACGCACAAACTCGCAGAAGAAGTTCAACTTCCGAAAAGGAAATGAGAAGAAAGATTTTCTCCAACCGGAAGGAAGAGCAGGAACGGTGCCCTGCGCTCGCCGGAGAGAAGCACGGTTGGTTGGGTGGGCAAAAGCGATGCGGGGAGGAAGAGGAAGCACGGAGCAGATCTGAAAGAAGAGGCGGAATTTATGAGTGGTCCTGACACCTAACTCGTCTCTCCCACACGAATCTCGCCAAAAAGGATTTATTCCCCCCTCTCTCTCCTCCCCTCCCCTGTATCTTTTGGATCTTCTCCCGCACAAATAATTTGGTTTGTGCTAAACAGAAGAAAGAAAGAAAGATTAGAAATTTGGAAGCAGCAGCGACCACAGACAAAGGGAGGAGAAGCTTTAGGCGGCGGTTTCCTGGGAATTGTGTCTTTTTTGCAAATGGTGGAGTCTCCTACTCTCCTTCCACTCTCTCTCCTTCTGCAGATGAGAAGAAAAAGAAGTCCAGGAAGGAGACCTCTTTTTTGTTATTTTCTTCACCAATTTTCCATCCCTGGTCCACTGGTTGTCTTAATTGTCTGGCTTGGCCTGACTTTTGACCTCCACCCTGTCCTTCTCCTCTTTATTATTCCTCAGAATCAGGCCAGATAAAATCAAAATCCCAGCCAGCTTATTTTCCTAAATTAACATATTATTACTCTGGGTTTTCCTCCATTCCTGGGGATATCCTGGTCTGCCTTTCTCGGATCCAAAGCGAGGCCCTGCCTCACACTTTCAGGAAATAGGTTCATGTCTGACTTTTGAGCGACCTTTTTGACCGTGATGATCCATTGTACTTTTGAGCTACTAGTACGTGTGGATTGCGAAAAATAGTGGGCGCCTGAGGAACGGACGCGGAAGCACTGTTGGAGTAAATCCGTCGGGTCATGTCCTTTGCTGTGCTCGCATCCCCATTCTTCAATGAATGAATGCGCCATTTGGACTAATTTCCAGCAGTGGAACGGTTGTGTACTGTTGAGTACTGTGAGAGGCAATGTGGTGTAGGGCATGCAAGCGTGTGAGTGAGCGGCATTTTCCTGCTGGAAAGCTGGTGTGATTTTTGATGTGGATATATTCGGGTTATCATTTCCTTTGCTTCCGTCGTCACTGGTATGGTCATAGCTAATCAGAAAGCAACACGAGTGTACTAGAAGCTGCTGGTGGTGATAGCTTAGCTTAAACAGGCCGGCGCATTAACACAACACTTGAATTACAGGACGACGCGACAAGGGCATGGCGCTTGGTTGCAACGGCACGTCAAGTTACTCACTCTCGTTGTATTGTAGTAGTATCCGTCCGTGGATCCCAGAGTACGTGTGATAAAGGAAAGCTCAACTCGACTAAATAAATACTCTCTGCTAACTTTGTAGTAGTACATGCTAACAGCATCTACGATCGGACTTGATAAATCGGACTTCTCAAACGCCTGCGAACGCGACGGGCGCATGTCACATCTCAAATATTTGATTCTACAACCAAACACCTCAAATTCATATTATTACATGCAACGTCCGGTTCCGCCATGCCATGTCCGACGGCCGGCGGCGCTCCTCGGAGTGTTGGTTCGGTTGCCGGTAAGGTAGAGTAGGGCATGGGACACGAGCCGGCTCACGGGACTCAAGGCACCGCCGTCTCCCATGCACGACTCTTTCTTGTTGGAGCTCGGAACCCGAACGGTGCCGGTGGACGTCAAATCGATGATGGATCCGTCTTGGAACGAGCCGGCGACATCCACCACGACGCGATTGCGGTGCCCGGACTGGTGCATCATACGGGACGCCAGAAAATGTAACTCCGCCTCGCAGACGTCTACCGCCGCGAGGGCTGTCGCCGCCTCCAGGCCCGCTGCATCGCATGGCGAGCACGCCACGCCATGTTTACGTCAGATGATGCCCATGGTGCGTCCATGACCTCGGAGCACCAATGAAGGGGTTGTGCGTCTGCCACCGCGTTCGGATGCTAGACGGACCACACCGCCTTCGGTGAGGCAGCAACGACACATATGGCGCCGGATCCATGCGCCATTTGGGTGGACGCAATGGACTCCCGACGGAAGGAGTCTGAGCGCTGCCTCGCACGGGCCTTCTCTTAGGAGTGGCAGAGTGCAAGCCGGGACCGCGTGGGATGAGCTCAGAATCGACGGATCTGGAGGTGAAGGACTAGGATCCGCTTCCCGCCATGCTACAGACGGCCGGAGATCGTTAGACGGGAGCTTGGATGACGGAGAGGAATGGAGTGAAGTGACTAGAGTTTGGTCCGATAAACGGATGAAGAGGAATATATATGGGGTCAGGTGGACCAACGTGGGTCGGGTCCGACGTGACGGACGCGCCCGGACGCCCCCATATCTGCCTCATATTTGGCCTAGATATGAGGGGTGCCGGTCAGTCCGGACGTTTGAGACGCTCGTCTAAGTCGAATTTCTATGACTGATAAATGACCAGGCCGTCCGTTTGGGCTTTTAAGACCGGTTTGGAACGTCGCTATAGATGCTCTACATAAATACACTTATATTGGGACGCAGGGAGTACTCATTAAGTTATTTTGGATCATCATCTTCTTACATCTCCTATCGTCTTTTTGCAGAGATGCAGATATCTCACTTGCATTAAAAAGAATGACACGCGTTTAGGTTTGTTCATCGACCCTAGCTGCTGGAGATAGTTAGGTCACGAGGGTTACACAATACAATTAATACTCAGGAAGGATGTCGGCCGAGCCTAACGGGCCTGCCCTAGCCCATAAGCGAGCCTTATCTTAAGGCTGCTAACAGTGAGAGTAACATAGCAAGTAACTTAATATCCTGAGACAAATTTGTTTATGTGGCAAATAGTTAATAAGAAGAGATGTGTTTGTAGTAACATATCATGTTACCATTATATAGTGTTTCTCAAGAAAAAAGTTGAGTTTACAAGCTAATAAATGCAACCATATATGTTACTCCCTCAGTTTCAAAATATAGTGGTTCCTCTATCCCCGTGCTTCAACTTTAACAATAAATTAAACCAACGAGATCGACTGCGGCGGGAGCAAAAGTTATACCAGTGAATTCGTATTCAAAAAAAGTTTTCAATTATATTATTTTTTCTCCCGCTGCAGTCGGTCTCGTTGGTTAAATTTATGATCAAAGTTGGATCTCGGGAAGCGCGGGCGCACTATATTTTGGAATGAAGGGAGTACTACTTCTATGACACTTTGCACTATAAGGGTAGTAACATAGACTAGTGTCATATGCATGACACTAGTCTAAGTTACTCCCCACTATGACTAGCCTAATGAGCGAGAGCATTGAGCAACTGATGAGGCCATGCCATCGAAGACGCAACTGTTGCGATGTCGCTAGAGGATCCAAGCAGTTAGCAACAATAGGGAGGAGACACCTCGGCAGAAGGAGGGAGCATCCGACAAGATGTTAGCCCAACATGTCTAGAAGAGGACATCCGGGTGAGGCATTGCAGCGGTGGATCGACACTAAGAGAGGACCTCGTGCCAAATCTGAGAAGAGAACGAACATCCGACGAGGAGATGCTACATACGCTTCGGCTCATGGTCGCATAGGAGAGAACGAGGTGCGTGAGGAATGCCGCGTCGGGCGAGGTGGTCGGCGATCCAGCATCTATCCTATAGGGCAAGCCATACACAAACCTTGATGCGAAGGGGAACCCATGTTCTCCAGGTTAGCCGCTAGATCACATTCGGAAGCGAGCCATGGAACATGGCCAAGTAGCAGGAAGTGGCCAAGTACACTCCGGTCTTACTCCAGCGCCAAATGAACCAGTCTGGAATGGTGGAGAGGATGGTGCGACGTAGCAACCGCTAGAGGTCGACATATTGCACCAGGGCGGCTGGCCTTCGGGCGTCGTGGATGTCTTGCACCCTGGACTAGAGGTGGAGACCATCACGAATAGTCATCATCTTGTAGTGATGCTTAGGGACCAGAGCATACACAAGAGGCGCTAGGTCGGCGATGCAACGACCATCAACCCAATGGTCGGACCAGAAGAGGCATTTTTTCCATCGCCAAGTTGCCAGGAAGTAGAGGCACGAACAATCTCCTGGACCTCAGGGTCACAGGGTAGGGGTAGGTGGCTCCATGATCGGCATGGGTCGGTGCGCTGGAGCCAAATCAACTGAGCGAGGGCGAGGCCAGTGCGGTGCAAGCCACGAACACCAAGGCCCCCAAGATGGAGAGGGCGACAAACGCGCGCCCAGTTCACCTTGCATTGCCCACTGCGCGCGTCTTTGCAGCGGACCCAAAGGGAAGCACGAATCACCTGATTGATCCTTGCAAGGATGGACTTGTTGACATCAATGGCGATGAGGATGTGAGTTGGCATCGCACACAAGACATGGCGAACCACGAACAGCCGGTCACCCAAGGATAGCATAGAGTCGTGCCAAGTAGATAATTTCTTATCGAGTTTATCCACGAGTGGTAGGAGCGCGGACATAGGAATCCTGCCGAGCGAAAGTTGGGTCCGAGGTATTGGATTGGGGAAGCCGAGACGGTGCACGTTGGTGCATCAGATTGAGGTGGCTGAGCACTTGGCGATATTCGTGTGCATATCAGATGCAATCCCAAAGACACGAAGAAGCTCCTTTATGGTCGAGATGTCATGACTATCTGGATGACAAAAGACAACCACATTGTCAGCATATAGGGAGATGCTCGAGATGATGCATCGAGTGGTGAGACGATGCAGCAAACCAAGATCCATAGTGTGCTGGATAAGGGAGTTGAGGACGCAAATGACCAACATGAATAGCAGGGAGTTGAGGACGCGAATGACCAATGTGAATAGCATCGGTGTCAA